TGTTTCAACATTTCAAATAATACAATAGGTATTAGTTCTTTAGGATTCCAAGACTTAGAATATTTTTACTGCTCAGAATCCACTACCCAAGACAAATAGTCATGGAAACATTAGAATGTTTAGAGTTACTGTACTAAGCAACCACTGTCATTTGTCCATTCTGGAAAATAATTTGAAGAGTCTTAAGACTTCTTGGATGTCTGTGTGGTCTAAACAGCTCATGGTCTTCAGGAAGAACTTCAACACCATTGGATGTTCCTCAAACCTGCTCATCTCAATCCATATCGCCCTTGATATGCAGTCATCTTTGTCTTTTTAATGCTACCTCTCTTGCTCTGTGTTCTGTATCTTGAGGTAAGTCATTCTGAAGGTCCCTTTGAAAAGGAACAAATCCCAGAATTGAATCATGTGGTGTGAATCATCACATCCTCCTTTCTATGTATCAGTTATATTATTGAGCATGGACCAGGAAATGAATTGGTTAAATTATGACTCAATAACTCAAATGATGGTGCTGCCAAACCATGGGGTTATCCCTCTCTTCCTTCTATAAATAGAATCCATCATCGGACTTTATAAACTATATTATTTTTTTAAAAAAAGCATTTCTTCCCAGTATTTTTCATGCATTGTATTTTATCCTATTTTGGTCCCCCTCAATTCCTCCCAGAACTTCTCCACTTTTCTACCTCTTGGTGCTGTACACTTTTACCATGGGAATACATGTAACAGAAAACTGGCTATCTTGAATTTGAAGTATACAGTTCACTGACTTAAGGTGGTTTGTTTATAGACATTTCTGGAACTTTTTTGTCTTTTTCATTTTGATTTATCCTCACCCACTGTCCAGTCCCTGGTAACCCCCACTGTACCTTCCACATCTGTACATTTCACCCTATGGGGTGTCTCATAAGTGGGAAATGATGCCATAATTGTTTCTCTGTGATTTTTCTCTATCCACATACTGTTATGTTCTCAAAGATCTCACATATTAAACAAAGTCAGAATTTCCCCCTTCAGATTTGTATATGTCTTCAGCCATCAAGGAACATGCACATGGATGACACCTTTGCTTACTGAGAAGGGTGCCATGAATGTTGTTGAATGAACATGTATTCAAGATGATTCTTGAATTCTTTAGGGAATAGGCCCTGAAACTAAAATGATAGATCTTATGGTAATTCTCTGTTCTAGCCTATGAGGGATAACTATCTAGTTTTCTACATTGCCTGCTTGCTCTACTGGCAATGCATAAAGATTTTTAACAGTCTCACACCTTCTCTTGCAGTTCTGTGTTTTTCTTCTTATAAAAAAGTATTGTGCATAAAATGTTTTATTCAAGCTGAAATAAAAAGGAAAAAGAGGTGAGTATTTTTTATTTTTCACAAATTTCTATCAGTCATCACTTTCCCTTTTATAAGACATAGGGATGACCACTGTTGAGCACTGCTGTATATATCATACAATTCATGTATTTGTTGGTAAAGTTTCTATGTGAATAAAATTTATCTACTTTTAGCAGAGCCAGGGAGCACTGTCTTTGACTGTAAACTATCGTGAGACTGGATAATCCATTATATCTCTATAAAGTATTAAATTCAAGTATATTACTTCACTATTTTGCACTTTACTCCTAACCTACAAAAGTTTGAGATCATTGCTATGTGCCTGTTATTTCACTTTCATGAGGCTTGAAAGATTTTTACTGAAAAATGTTTTTGCATACAATACCTACTGGTAATGGATTCCCTTCCCCCAACTCCTCTCAGATCATCCCTGACTCTCCGTCTCTCCAAATGCACACCCATTCATTCTCTCTCACACTGGAAAGCAAATGGATATCCCAAGATGATTAAAAAAATAACAGAATAGGTAAAATAAACAAACTATAAGGAGAAAGGGCCAAAGAAGAAAAACAAGAAACAAATGCAGGCGGTGCCTGTTCTAAAGAGTAGTTGGTATACCCAGTGAGATTCCTTTGGTGAAAACAAGCTTTTCCTTTGGATTGGAGATAGTGTCTGAGTTAGGCATGGGGGCTTGCAGGACTGAAGGTTTTGTTATTGCGTATATGCTTATAAACATTAATGCAAATCCAGAGAACTGGACTGTGAGGATGGGTCTGTGTTCCAGTGATGGGTGAGGATTTGTTATATGAGTCACCCTCTGCATCACTGTACTTTTCTCTTTTTCTTTTTTCTTTTTTTTGCAGGTGCTTCACTTTCTCCCATAATTCCCTGTCCAGTTCAACATTTCTTATTACTACTAAGTAACTAAGCCCATCTGAATTCATCTTCAAAATGTATAAATACTACTACAAAAGGCAGAGGTAAGGGCTAAGGAGAAACCTATACTGTGATCTTCAAACTTTTTCTGAAAAATAAACATGCATCCACCCCACAGATATCAGACGTGGAATTAACAAAGTCTTCAACAGTCTGAATCTTGATCCACTCTCCTTCAGCGCTGTGCTATAGACAGTGTATTAACCAAGCTTGCTATCAATTCCAAACCCATCATGTTGGTGTAAGTTTTCAAGTAGGACATCTGTGCCTTCACTCAGTTAGAACACAGTGGGTGTGTAAGAGAAAGTATTTCTGAGCAAGAAAATATAGGTTGTAGGTTCCCCAAACGGTTCTTCATATGCAGTCACTGACACAGTCCACATTTCTACTGATAAAAAGACTCCATCTTTTACCTTTCTGCAAAACAACCAAGCTGAGATCCCTGGGGCATAATTTTCCATCTGATCATTTTCACTTACACCCAAGGATTTAAACTGATAAGACATCCTGATAACATGGTTCACAGGATCAAGTAAAATGTTGTTTTACTTCACAGAAAATAGTTGTTTATTCAAAATTTGTCAACATACTTTGCACATGTTAATGAAGTGACTTTGGTTATTCAAAGATAGAAATTGGAGGAAGTCATAAGGACAAAAATGTCCACAAAGTCTGCCATGATTTCTGTTTTACATACTTTGTGTGTGTGTATAGGTGTGTTATTGATAGAAATAAGTATCCAATACATACTAGGCAATGAATATATCACCTAAATATGTTATCATATTTCATTTTTTTAAAATACATCGTCAATGGTAAAGCCATTATGATTTTAATTGTGCTTTTCTCTATTGCTTTCTTTAGCAAAAATCTTATAAATTGTAACAAATATGCAAATAAGAATGTCACTGACTACTGAAGCCAACTGGATAGATAACTGTTCTCCCTGAAGTTACAGTTTTGTGTTCATCTTTCACACTTAAAGATGAATATATCTCTTTACATGTATAAATAAGTCACTTATATTTCATGGATACAAATGAGTTCAATGGCTCATTTGTGAGAGGTTTGGAGTTCAACTCTCAGCACCAACATAGCAGCTCAAAACCAGTTGTAACTCCAGTGCCAGTTTCTGACACTCTGTTCTGAACTCTTCAGGTATCAGGCACACAAAAGGTACATACATGTATATGCAAGCAAAACACACCAAAACATAAAATAATAATCTATTTTGTTTTGTTATAGATGTATGTGTAGGGGTTGGGCATGTTGGTACCATGCCCTTGGAGGCCAGAAGAGGGCATCAAATCCCCTGGAGGTGGTTGTGAGTAGCTCAGGGAAGGTGCTAGGAAAGAAACTCTGGTCGTTTGCAAGAATAGGAAGTACTCTTATCCACTGAAGGGTCACCAACCTTGTTTCTTTTATTGTTATCTACAGAATGTGCAGGAGTAATATATAGAAATAGCTTTTCAATGCAACTTTTAGACAGGAGAAACAAAATGGCTCTTTAGGCCTCTAACAATGATTTGTTCTGTGTCTTCTCTTTTCCCTCATGTTCCTGGTTGATTCCACACTTTCCTGACAGCATCTACAACTCTGCCGAAGTGAAGGAGTGGATCTTCAGACTGACAAGCCTCCTTTGCAGTTTTTTGGTCTGGGGTTTTGGGATAAGCCTAGCTACCAGTAGATACTGGCGCATTTGGGAATTCAACAGCAAGGCTCTACCCCTGTTGTACATTGGACTGTGGGAAGCTTATTATTATCAAGAAGTCAACAATTCAGGTTCAATAACCAGGGTGCCAGTGTACAGTGCTATGAACTCCAACTGGACCATTTCAATAGAACTTGAGTATGCAAGGGGCCTGATAATATTGTCTAATTTTATGCAGCCCGTAGTCCTTATTTTTACCTCAGTGGCCATTATGGTCTGCTGGATCAGAGCCCCATACCCTGATTTCATGATCCTGTGCTACAAAACATCTGTCTTATTTCTGATCTTCAACATCATTTGCACAGTTCTGGCTGTGAGTTTGAACCACCTGGTGGACATTTATGGTCAAAGCACCCTTGACTTTCCACTAACATTTCCGGTCAGTAAAAAGGATCTGATAAGGAAGCAGAAAACCCATGTGCTACCACTGGGGATGCTGACAGCTGTGCTTTCAGTCATCAGCATCATTACATTGCTTTATGAGATGTGGTCAATTATAAAGCAAAAGCCACAGTGAAGTCAATAGTTGCCTAAATAGATCACTGTCTGTAGAATTGAGCTAAGGGCTCCTGTATCAGCAACATCTGCCAGGAGACTCCTTCAAGATACTTTCTGTGTGCACATAAACCTGCTCTGGTTATCTACTCATGTCAAATAAAACGTTAACTGCATTACCCATGTTTGTCACCTGCTTACGACTTGCTCTACTCTACAAATGCACTACCATCTCTTAAGGTCTTCATTTCTGGAAATATAGGCCAGGATTGTACATAGAGATACTTAAAGCAAAGGCAGGATACAAACAAGGGCAGAGAAGAGTTCAAGTTGCATTCATACACATGACCAACTCCAGGCTAAAAGGAGGTTCATAAATAAGCTCACACCAACAAACAGGAAAGCAACTATATCTCCACTGTGGAGTCCTTAGCTTTTATACTGCTTTGGAGGTTGGAGCAAAATCTCTGATCTTTGTCACCTCTGACTGTGTTGGGATTGGGGAGATAGAGTCCACAATGTGCAATTGAGCTAAACGAGGGATATCCATGGGCACTGCCCACTATGGGGCACTAGCACACTTCTATTTCCCTTTTGTGAAGAACCCAACCATGGGCATTCATTGTCACATATATAACCTCTCACAGATAGTGTATCTCCCTTTTAAAGAACAATTGAGTTAGACTCACACTTTCTCCATATGGACGGAAGCTCTGCTATAGTAAGAGGATTCTGACAGAAATTGGTAGGAAAATAGAACCACACAAGGTCCTCTTGCTCCACATTCTAAAGAGGTATGCTTTGGCAAATAAATACATAAATACATAAATAAATAACTCATAATATAAACCGAAGATATGGGTGGAAAGTTTAGTTTCCAGGACTTCCACCTCAGTCATTGTTTGTTCTCAGACATCAGTTAGAAGGCAATTCAGTCTCCAGGGGAAGTCACCTCTCCAAATTTACATGAAATAGCTAAATTTAGACTCTGAAATTTTCAGTGCAATTTTTTTCAGAAGTTTTTACTCCATTAAGGCATAGAGCAGAGGTTCTCAACCTTGCTAATGTGATGACCCTTTTTATAGAGTTCCTCATGTTGTGGTAGCCCTCAAGCACAAAATTATTTCATTGCTACTTCTTAACTGTAATTTTGCTCCTGTCATGAATCATAATGTAAATACCTGATATGCAACCCCTGTGAAAGGGCATTCAACCCCCCAAGTGGCAGAACCCACAGGTTGAAAACTACTGGAATAGAGGAAGAAGATGTGAAGGAGAGTGTAAAAGTGCCTAAAGGGAAAATGAGATAGAATTCATCCCAGTACTTCATGGAGACCACAGTATCAGAAATAGGGAATGGCAGAGGAGTGACATGCTTTCAAGTTGTTGGAATGCATACCACCATTGCAAGAACTTTATGTGAAATTCCCAAATGAAGCTTTGCTAAGATGTTAGACTCAATTAGCTTTAGCAAGACAAAATGATGGCAGAATGCGAGGAAGGGAGATGTGAATTGTTCCCATTACAAAGAGGAAGACGCGAAGTGATATCATGACCCCAAATCTTTTTTCTGAATCCTGACATGGACTTATGATTTTTAGTAGAAGAAAAATTGGAGGAGATGCCAAGAATTATCCATAGATACAGAGTTCTGATCAAGGTATAGAACATCCCCGATTTTGTAGTGATTTAGGTCCATTTGACCTGAAGAAAATGGAGGTGGGAAACGGGAGGAGGGAGGGGTTTGGGGGAAGAGGAGGAAAGAGAAACTGCATTTAAGATGCAAAATATGAGAGAATACCAGAAAAGAAGCATCAATTTCTAGGTTGAGAGTATTTTCAGAGGAGCTGAGTGACCTGAAGGTCATATGAAGAGCTCCAGGGATGCAGTGTTTGTAAGTTGTGACTCGTGTTGAGGTGGGCTTTTTATTTAATGTGTATTTGTCTGTGTATGTGAGTGGTAACTGAGAGATTTTTAGAGTAAAGTGTACTTGGAGGTCATAAGATAACCAATGAGAGCTGGTTTGCTTTTACGACCATGAGGGTTTTGGGGTAGAATTCCGGTCATGAGGCTTGACTGGAAGTGTCTGTACAATAGAAACTGACATGGGATGTGTTCTTTGATGATGCAACTGCCCTTGAGCGATTCTATCTATAAGTAACCCCTTACCCATATTCCTTCAAGTAATTACATCAGTTAGGCTTCCTGGATGTTCTGTGTCAGGAATTCTTCAATTAGACATTTTCACTTTTTTATATTTATCATTTTCTTTGACTGGTATGCCTACTTCTCTCAAATCTTCAATGCCTAAGATTCTCTCTTCCATTTCCTGTATTTTGTTAGTGATTCTTGAATTTATAGTTTCAGTTTGCTCGCCTTGACTTCTCTTTTTCAGTATTCCAATTTGTGCTTTCTTTATTCCTTATATCTTTGTATTCAAGTCTTGAATAGTCTTATCCATTTCTTTCGACTGTTTTTCCTTGGCTTTCTTGAAAGGATTTATTCATTTTCCACAATAGTTGTTTGCCTTTTTCTCAATTTCTAAAAGGGATTTATTTAATAATTTCTTCTTTAGGGATATCTGACATTTTCATTAGGTTAGATTTAAGGCCTGTGTGTGTGTGCTTCAGCATGTAGGGATTTTCAGGGATTGCTGTACTAGGACAACTGAGCTCTAGCAGTGATAAATTGCTTTGCCTACCTTTGATTGTGTTCTTATGCTGTCATCTAGGCCTCTGCATTTGTGGTGACTATAGGCTTACTTAACAATATCTGATTTTGTCAGTTTTGGATGGGTAATTTGTTCCATGGATTTCTGGCAGACAGCATAGCTTCTGGGCGAGCTGAGAGTCTCTGTCTAATTCAGGGACTGGGACATAGTGTCCAGGAAGGAACGAGGCCTTGGTAGGGCAGGCACCGTGAGAGTGAGAGGCATCTGTTAGCAGTTGGACTACCTAAACTTCTGGTGAGAATCGTTGCCTCTGGCTAAAGAAGGAGTATCTGTCCAAATTGGGATCTGGGACATGGCAAAAAAGAACGATTGTTAATGCAAAGAAATAATGTAGTGTTGTCACCTTCACTTAAATATTTTCCCATATTTTGTTTTTGATGTTGAATATGGCATAGGTCTTTTTAATATTAACAACATTTCCTCTCCTCTTTCAAGTTAGTTTATCATAGACTGAACCACAAATAAAATACTGAAATATTAAAAAAAAGAAAAGAATGAGAGGCAGTTGCCAGGTGATGATTGTGCACACCTTTAATCTCAGCAGTTGAGGGGCAGAGGCAGGTGGATCTCTATGAGTTTGAGGCCAGCCTGATCTTCAGAGCGAGTTCTAGGACAAGCTCCAAAGCTACACAGAGAAACTCTGTGAAGGGGGAGGAGAGGTAGAATTGTGTATTGTGTGCAGCAATCTGGAGAGTAGGGGAGATCCATGAGCCATAGATCTACCTGAAGTTCTAGTGGTCACAGTGGCCCATGATCAAGCAGGGGGTCTCCATCTGACCTGGGGGTCAAGACATGGAGATGAAGAAGACTGTGGTTTGGCCTAGGTTAGGCAGGTACCTCAAGATTTGGGGAAGGTGTCTTCAGGTGGGTGACCTACTTGGAGTTCTGGCATCTGGAGTGATCTCTGATCAAGAAGGTGGGCTCCATCCTTGTTGGAGGCTGGGACATAGTGACCCAATTTCCATCTTTAAATTATCCCTATCCAAATACACTTCTCCCAACTTGCCTTAGTGCAACTACAGCCTTTGTACACTCCTGATTTCTGAATTTATTCCATGTCACAAATTGACATCTGAATGTTTGTGGCTCGAATCTGCAGGTGAGACAGAAACTGTAGGATACCTCACTCTATGGCCTTTTCTAGTTCCAGCCATTTGCCAGTAAGTGTCACGCTGTCATTTTTTATAGCAGTTGAACAACATTCCACTGTGTGTCTGAAGCATATTTTAATTATCCATTAGTCTGTTTAAAGACGTTTAGGTCGTTTTCAGTTTCTGGTTCTCATGAATAGAGCTCTCATTCGATCAGTCCCCTTGTATCAGTGGGTGAACGTACCCTTCGAGGTCCTGACTTCCAGTGCTCCAATGAGGGTCTCTGTCTCTATCTCCATCCATCGTCAGATGAAGGCCCCCTCTGATTTTGCTTTCCTTGCTCACGATCTCCCTCCCTCTGCTTCTCATTTAAGCCTAGAGAGTTAAGTCCAGTGTTCCAATATGTGTCTCTGTCTCGATCACCATCCATCGCCATATGAAGGTTCTGTGGTAATATGCAAAATATTCATCAGTATGGTTATGGGCCAAGGCCAGATCAGGCACCCTCTCCTCTGCTGCCCAGAGTACAATCTGGGGACCTCTCCTTGGGCCTGGGAACCCCTCCAGAATCAAGTCTCTTGCATACCCCTAAATGGCTCACTTAGTTGAGATATAAACTTCTCTGCTCCCATAACCATCCTTCCTCCCTCCCCCCTCCCATTTTCCCAATTCATCCCCGATCCTACCCCTCTCCCCTCTCCCTAACCATCTCCCAGTGATTCCACCACACCACCCCCCGTGCACCCAAGTTTGCCTGGCAATCTTGCCTACTTCTAATATCCAGGAGGATAAATATATGATTTTCTTCAGGTTCACCTTCTTATTCAACTTCTCTAGGATCACAAATTATAGACTCAAAGACCTTTAACTATGGCTAGAAACCACTTATGAGTGAGTACATACCATATTCCTCTTTTTGGGTCTGGGTTACATCCTCAGTAAAGCGTTTTCTATTTCCATCCATTTACATGCAAAATTCAAGATGTCATTGTTTTTTACCGCTGAGTAAAACTCTAATGTGTATATGTTCCACACCTTTTTTAACCATTCTTCTATTGAGGGGCACCTAGGTTGTTTCCAGGTTCTGGCTATTACAAATAATGCAGCTATGAACATAGTTGAACAAATACTTTTGTAGTATGATAGAGCATCTCTTGGGTATATTCCCAAGAGTGGAATTGCTGGGTCCTGAGGGAGGTTGACTCCCAGTTTCCTGAGAAACTGCCACACTGATTTGCACAGTGGCTGCACAAGTTTGCATTCCCACCAACAATGGATGAGAGTTCCCCTCATTCCACATCCTTTCCAGCATAGGCTATCATTGGTGTTTTTGACTTTAGCTATTCTGACAG